AGCTTCTGCTGAACGAACATAGACACTGGTTTTGTTCCAGACTACCAAATATAACTGAATGGTCGGCCTGCTGAAATCACTGAGTGGAAAAAAATCAGACTTCAACCTTGTACCAGTTTACCGAGCATGGCTAAATGTGTCATGAGGTATTAAGAGGGAAGGCGATGAAAATCTTCATGTTGTTAATTTAGTGAGTAGAACATTCATTGTATGAACCTTTGATATAAAGTTGTTGTGCTACACAGATTTTGCTTACTTTGTTCTTTGTAATGTCATCTTGCCAAAGCTACTGGATCAGTGACATTGAGTATACGACTTGGCCCTGTGATCTAAAACAATATGGGTAGAGTGTGATCAGGGCAACCAACTCTGTAAGGATCAACCACAGACTTGCCCAATGACTGAGGGCGGGATTGTGACATCATATACATCAACACCTTAAATAAACAGCTACTGCTGTGTTAAAAAAATATTAATTTCTGTGATATTTAAAACTTAAAGTAAATAATATTTGCTTAAAATCTGATTATACTTTAAATCAGCTAATATTTCTCGGATAAAGTTTCAGAAAAGTATATTTTATTTTTGAAGATCTTTTAATAAAGTGAATTACATTGTGATGAAAGATGACTAAAAAAAAGTGGTGTTAATCAACTATTTTAGCAAAAAAATAAAAAAACCTTCCAGTCAATTTAAATTAGTTTAAAATTAGGTCTGGTAGTAGTAGTAGTAGTAGTAGTAGTAGTATCCTATGTTCACTATGTACAAGCAATGGACTCGCCCCTGTTAGCTATTTAACTTGTAACTCCTATTTTCTTTTTTGTAGCTGAGTTTCATTTAGTTGAACAAAGCTTAGCACTTTTACTGTTGTTCTGAGCTCTGTTTAATCTTACAATTACTACAATTTATTCAACTAAACGTGTAGATAAAATCTAGCATGAAAACAAAATGCTTGGATGTTGAACTTTGTTCACCAAAATCTGCCAGACTACCACCAATGGCGAGCTGTCCTACTAAACTATATAGATGATTACCAGGAAAGAATACCAAACAAATACCAGACTCTCTTGAGTTGTATAAGTCTCAGTGTATTTGAGTATATTGAAGGATGTACAAACTTCGACATGGCTATAAGAAAATTGGATGCTTTATTTATTAAAATGCCCAACGAAGTGTTCACCTGTTGGCCACAAGACAACAGAAGCCAGGAGAATCTCTGGACAAATTTTTCAGAGAACTAGAAAAGCTGAAAAGAAATTGCAATTTCAAAGACCATACTGCTGACGAATGTGGCAATTAAGCTATGAGAAATGCCTTCATTTCAGGCTTAAGTTTGAATTCCATATGGCAGTGTCTCTTAGAAAATAAAACCCTATATGTACAAACAGCTTACACTCAATGACTTATATACTGCCCCAGAAGCACAAATAGCAGCGATAGTTGACTCTGACCCTCAAATATATGTGATGAATTTCTAGTCGAACCAGTAGTAGCCACAACATGTCAAGCCAAATGTAAATGCTTTTTTTTTGTGGATTTGTCTACCATTTGCAAGACTGCTGTTCTACTTGTAAAAAATGCTCAAAGGAAGGACACTATGCTCGTGTTCAAATCTTCATTAGCAACAGTGGCTGGTCCTTATATACTGACCATGTTTGCTAATGTACCACAGGAACTATATCCCACTGCAATGCATGTAGTGGTTAATAAAAAAAAAAAAAACAAAGTCCTCTACTCGATTATTGTAGCACTGATAGTTATATAAGTGAAAGAATCATATGAGAACTGAAGTTGGAAGTCCACCTGTCCAGTAAGGGTTTCACCATGGGCCAGAAAACTTTAAACACTAACTCAAGGGGCTATGTAGTTGTAAATCTAACCCTTTGCCTTAATGGTTAGTTGTATGTTACCACCTATCTAGGTGTTTTGAAATATTTATGTTCTGACGTGATACTTGGTCAGGATTTTCTGTGTCAGCATCAGAAAACGATGTTCAAATATGATGGGCTCCTACCCAAATTAACTGTGGACAGTAGTCATCAGGTTTGTGCTTAATGCACACAGTGGAGATAGAAAACTTCATTATTTCCCAATTTATCACCAAACTGTAAACCCATTGCCATCAAGTCAAGGCACTTTAACAACGAGGATCAGTTCTTCATCAATAAAGAAATTCAGAACCTGCTTTCTGAAGGCATAATCGAAGAAAGTGTTTCTCCATGGTGAGCCCAGCAGGTAGTGGTAAAGGACCCCACTCATTGTCATAAAAAATGAATGTGCATAGATTACTCGCAAACGATAAATCTGCATACAGAACTGGATGCTTATCCTCTATCAAGAATTGTTAAAATGATCAAAATACCTTGCTAGATACAGCATTTTTTCTACATTCAACCTCAAAAGTGCCTACCACCAAGTACTGCTTAAAGTATCTTATTTAGTTAAAAATAAAAAAATTCTCACTTGAGAAAAGGCACTCGAAGCTTTTGATCAATTAAAAAAAGAACCTTTCGATGTCAGATGTGGCTATTTCCACAGCCCTTAGCCAAAGTGGATGCCCAGTAATGTTCATGTCAAAAACACTACACTCAAAGTATCACATAACAGAGAAGGAGGCCATGGCAATTATTGAGGTGTTTTGGAAGTGGAGTCACTATTTGTCATGGCAACATTTTACCCTAATTACTGATCAGAGATTGGTGGCCTTCTTATTTACCAATGAAAAGCATACTAAAATTAAGAATGCCAAGATTCAAGAATGGCAGTTAAAACTTTCAGCCTTTGACTACATGATAAAATACCGCCCCGGCAAGGAGAACATAGTTCCCAATGCACTTAGTTGAGCTTACGCTGGTTCAACCATTACCAGTTCTGCCCTTACTGACATTCACAATGGTCTATGCCACCCAGGAGTTACTAGACTTTTATATTTCATTAGAAGGAAAAATCTTCCTTTTTCTACAGAGGCAGTAAAAAAGGTGTGTGCTTCTTGCAGAATCTGTGTAGAAATTAAATCTTGTTTCTATAACTTGCAGGAAAACACTTTTTCAAGTCAACCAGACCCATGGAACAACTAAGTATTGATTTTAAGGGACTTGTGCCTACTGCCATGCACAACACATATTTACTAGTAGCAATTGATGAATACTCATGGTTTTCATTCATCTTCTCATGTCCAAACATGCACACTACATCAGTAATCAAATCCTTAAATCTTTTGTTCAGCTTAGCTGGGATGCCTGGCTACATACACTCTGACAGAGGTGCGTCTTTCATGTCTAAAGAATTGAGAGACTGCATCTCTCAAAAATGGGTTGTGACAAGTAAAACCATTCCATATCATCCAACTGGGAATACACAGGTTGAACACTTTAACGGCACTATATTGAAGGTAATTCAGTTAGCTATTAGATTGTAAAACATAGGTGAGAAGTACTTGGAATTGGTGCTTTCTGAAGTGCTACACTCTGTAAGATCATTGCTATGTACTTCTACAAATACAACCCCTCACAAGTATTTCTTTGCATTCCCTTGTCGTTGATCACACAGGAATTCTCTCCCATCCTGGCTAATGTCACCAGGTTCCATATTATTAAGGAGGTTTGTAAGAAATAGTAAACCGACCCTTATGTGGACCAAGTCTTAGAAAGTAGTCCGACTTATGTATAAAGTATCCAGATGGAAGGGAATCTACTGTATCTGTTTGTGTGCACCCTGCCCGGAAATAGAATTAACCCCTGAGTCCCCCACTACAGGACAAAATAGGAGTTCCCTGGGTGTCCCCATACCAGAGGAGGAAACAACGCATAATGGAAATGATGCTGGGATCCAACGGGTCAGGAGATCCAAACAGACGACAAGACCTCCAGATTGTTAGGGATGGTAACACTACATTTTTCTAGGAACAAAGAATGTGATAGTAGTAGTATCCTATGTTCACTATGTACAAGTAATGGACTTGTAGTGCCATGCCAAATTTTCTCCAATTCTCATTGGTTAATAAATACATTGTACTTATTATAGGACAATTTAACCATCACAAGTAATTCAAATTTTTCTCTAAAATCACGGATTGGTCCATTTCCTGATCAATCGCATATTTTAGTATCTTTTCTATATTTCTGGCGCTAAGCTATCCGGAGCCTACCCATCGTTATAAAAGAATCTCGCTATCAACCAAAAGACCAGTTGCAGTTCAATTCTTGGAAAATAAGGCACGGTGCTATATTGACATTTTAATTCTTAATTATTACTCATTCGAGTAATCATACTAATTCCTGTTGATATCACTCATGAACATTACATCTTTCTACACTGATAAAACACTGTGGAACTATTCTGTATTTAGCTAAGACTTCAATTGAACTTTGTAGTTAAATTACATTCAATTTTGTACTCAACATTTATTAGCTAAACTTACCCTTTTTTATTACGGAAAAAGGGAAGCAACTTTATTTGTACTTATTGTTGAAATGTGTATACAATATATTATTAATGTTCACTAAGCTTGATTTTTTTTCCTTGATGTTTAAATTTAATGTATGGATGTTGATTATCTTGAAACACGCAGCCACATTTAATTTGATCAACCCAACTACTAATCACACATAACAGACTCATCCCAGTTGCTTATTTAACTTGTAACTCCTATTTTCCTTTTTGTAGCTGAGTTTCATTTAGTTGAATAAAGCTTAGCACTTTTACTGTTGTCCTGAGCTCTGTTTACTCTTACAATCACTTCATTAGGTTTTGAAATACAGCAAAATATTTTGCTTATTGGAAATAGTAAATTTAATCTATTAGCTTGAAGTTAAAACTAAAATAAAACCTTTAAGAATGATTTTTCATTTCTAAAAATTCATTTTAAACTTTAGGTATTACATTTTCTGTGGGGGGTTACCTATACACATATATATATATTTTAAGTAAAATCAATAGCTCATATTCTCTAAGTATAGCTACTGTCTGTATTTTTCAATCACTTTTTCTTTTTTCAACAGTCAAAGCAAAGAGGCTTTCTAAAGAGATTCATGGTTCTACCAAAACTATCTTGGCAAACCAGCAAAGTAAGTGGACAATTTGGTACATTTCTTTATAGGTACATCTTTAGAAATATCTAATTTGCAAAATAATTTATCTTATTGGTTAAATTTTAAGTAAAGCTTGAAATCCTAATTACAAATTTTTCATTTTGTATTTTTTAATTTAATATATTGCCTCCACACTTTGTGCTTAATAAACAAAGTAAACTTGTGACATGAAAAGTAGTAATGATATAACTTAGTGATATTTGCTAATTAGCTTTTAAGCAGTGGTGGCTTGTGTATAGGCACTGTGGAATTGTGGCACCCCTTATTTTTACTTGATATTATTGCTAAAATTCAATATAATCTGTTTTTTTTCTTTAATTCTTTCTTTATACTTGTACATTATATGATCCTTAAGCTTAATGTCAGTAGCCATCCCCTCATTCATGAAAAATTACAAAAATCTTTGTATGGAATTGTGTACTTCACAGTTCCAGTAATGTGAAGTTTGGCTGTTGTCTACATGTGCATATGTCTGAGGAAAGAAGCTGAATGAGACAGTACTGTTGTTCATACAGTACTGACCCTGTTGTCTGAGTGTAAGATAGTGTTTATTAAGAAACTAAGAAATTAAGAAATGAGGCTGTTCAACAACTGATATTCAAATATCTCAGCCAGGAATAAGCAACAGTAGAAGGTAACTTTATTTCTGAAGTGTACCAACAGAAAAGTTGTCTCCGTGGCTGTAAAGTGAAAAATGCATTGTTTTGCTTCTTGTGTTTTCTGTATGGAGATGTAATTTGGACAAGAGAGTTTTAGAAATATAAACAAAATAAAAGAAAAAACTGAAAAACATGATAAGTCAAAGAAGCATATTGAAAATATGGTTTCACTGTAACTTTAGGGAAATGTAAATATTAAGGAGAAACTTTGTGAGGCATATAGACATTCAATCAATGAGAATAACGTGATGGTTAAAAAGAACCGTGAAATTTTATCCAAAATAAACTGTATTTAATTTTGTGGAAACTTTGAAACTCCCTTATGTGGACATGATAAAAATGATGATTCAGTAAATCCTGGGGTTTTTAGAATATTAATAAATTTTGCATCTAAATTAGATCCAGATTTGAAGAATCACTTAGAAACCAGTACAGTTTTCAAAGATGTTTCTAAAACCATTCAGTATGAGATAATTGACTGTCTGCTACAAATATATCATGAGGAGATAAAGACAGAAATTAGGGAAACTTTGTTTGTAGCCATCATGAATGATTACACAATGTATGTTTCGGAACACACTCAAATGGTCATTGTTCTATTACATGGAATGCAAGAATATTTTTCTCTAACATTTTGATTATTCCAACATTCTTCTCAAGATCACCAAGACATTTATCCATTCTCAAGAAGCATATGGATATCAGTATTCCACATCCATCCTCTACAAAGTGGAACTTTAACATATGTACCATGAACAGAGTTCATAAAATTTACAACCTTTAAAACACTGCCTTACTGAAATTCAATCAACATCAAATGCAGATTGTAGTGAAAATAAAGAAAGCCTTAACTAAAGGTTTTATTCTAGCAAAATGTGTTAGTTACATGTTCAATAAAATAAGAAAATAAAAACTGCTATAAATAAAACTAAGGATAGGAATAGTCCACTCAAGACTGCAGTGGCAGTAGTGAATGGACTATGCTCATTATTTACAACAGTTAACAAAAGGAAATATCATCACATTCTCCTCCTCCTCAAATTACTGCTATTGTTACAAGTCCAAAGAGGTGGATGGACGATGTATCTGCTCTGATCTCCTGGACACTATTGCTTCCTCAGCAATGTCAGGGGGTGGAAGGGGGTTGTGGTACTCTGGTTAGTATTATCCTTTTTGGTTGGGGTAGCTTCAATAGTTTCTTTAGGTAGGACTGGGTAGTTATAACCATTGGGTATTTTCTGGAATTCTCTATCAACATGGGTTTCAACTGGGCATAGATGTTTATTAGCTACTGTTATTTCTTTGCTTTTTTTGTTGTGAATGTAGGCATAGTGTGGATTCACTTCAATAAGCTCCACCTTTTTGACCAATGGGTCAAGTCTTGTTCACCTGAACACGTTGTTTTAGGAGAACTGGTCCAGGGTTGCTTAATCATGAGGGAACAGTATCTCCAGTGGAAGAACAGAAGATTAACTAAACAGCCTCTCATGTGGTGTTAGTCACTGTGCAGAGTAATGAGCAAATTGATTGTAAAGCATCAGGCAAAACTGTTTGTCAATGTTGTGCAGACAGACCATGTGACCTCAAAACCATGGTAATTGTTTTCCATATAATGCCATTATATCATTCTACTTGGCAAATAGTTCAGGTGGGTCTACTTTCAAGGTGTTTAGTTCATAGATAATTAGAAGTGGCAGTCCTCCCTCATATTTCAGAGTAATACTGTCATGCATTTCTTGAAAAGTTCCGCTCCCTTGATAAATACCTTTACTACAGAGAACCTGGAGTAGCCACTGAAGTTACTGCAGCTTGTGTTGTCTGATTGTAAATCAGATTTAAATTCATAGAGGTCCTAGAAGCCACTTATAGTTTAGCATGACAAACCTTAGTAAAGTGCCTCTTCTTCTGACATTGATAACATGTGGCTCCAAGTGCTGGACATTTCAGACAAGGGTGCTGCAAGAAACCACAAAAGTAGCACTTGGCATTTGATGCAGCTGTCACAGTAACAGACAATACAGTAAAATTTTCCTTAATCTTCTGGTCAGGAGTTGAAACACTCATTACCTGAAAAGGTTGTGTAGCAGTGTACAGTTAAGAATTCCTCTGAGCTGAATCCAACACTCTCACTTATGTCAGTTAAATCCAGTCTTATTCTCCAATAAGTTTGCCTTATCAACAAGGACTACAGACTACTAATAATAACATCCCTGATAGACTCCCTACAATATTGATTCGTGGTCACTGCCTTGAAGTTATAATCTCTATTTAGTATTTTCAATGCTCAAAAACACTTATCCAGAGGTTCATTTACCTTCTGATGTTGAGTTGTGAGGTGATGATGTGCAAAAACCTCATTTGTGGGTTTGATATAGTGTGATTTCAGTAATTAAAGTGTCATGAGTAGTAGTTGAAAGGAATATGACATAGGATTAAGAAAAGGGTTCATGTTAGAACCCTGGATAGAAGGGCTGCAATGTGGAAATTATTGAAATGAAAAGATTGCAATATGGGTCGGAAAAATAATTATGAAGCAGAAAATTATTTAAAAGCCAAAATATAAAACAATGGGATTTGAAATTGGTTGTTTTGGAAAATAAGATTTCATAGTTATTTGTTAAACATGGATAAATTCCTTTAGCCAATTTGAAATTTGATGATAACTGCTGATCATTGCAGGCAATATTTTGGTTGTATTGGAAATGTAAACAATTGGTGATTGTTTTGAAAATGGACAAAAGAATTTGGCAAGACCAAGAAATTATTCTTTGAAGGAAGGATTTCTAAAAGCAGAGTGAATTCTATGCTGATGTGGAATAAATTTTTACATACAAAAATTAATTTGTAAACAATAATTGTATAGTAACAATGGAATGTAAAATCAAAAGTTATATTGTTTTAAATAGATGACCCTTTATTGAGAGTCAGTTGTTGTCAATCCAAGGTCGAGGAAAATGAATATTAATGAAATTCGAGATGTGGTCAGAGTTATGCGAGATGCATATAAACCGTACGCTACTTGAAGCCTGAGAGAGTTGGGGTGAAGAGTGCGAGCAGTTGCAATTGAGTGAGAAGCGACCTGAGGGCACTCAAGCCCAGCAATGGGCCGGACACCGGAAGAAGCCACATGCCCTGCTGTCAAAGAGTATTGCTGATACTGAACTGTGCAAGAGAATGGCTGACATGGATAATTGATGACTGGAAGTCCTGATGACCTAACATCTCATGTGAAGAGCTAGCCCATTCCAAGTTTAGAAACAGAAGATTCCTTGTCACTAGATTCCACAGGAAGTGTTAATTTTGTGTATTGATATTTTTATAAAACCAAATGAAAATTAACCCAAGGACTTTATTTGTGATTTATTTGTATTCCACTAGCAGAGGTATCATTGTCCTTTGGGTTTCATAGCACAGTTCCACCACTCGACTCAGTGCTTAAGTGCGGTTGAAAGTTCGATCGTCATTACACTGTGATCAATCAATCACAATGTAGGACAGAGTAGATGAAGAAACAAAGCAGTCTACAGATAACCATCAGTTGACCGGCACCAGTACAAACCAGGGTGGGAAAGACCCCAGAATGAGTCAGGCCAACTGTTTTATAATAGCATCCTTGTAAGCAATACATTCTGAAATAGTCTCAGAGACTTGGAGTAAAATGAAGTTTACTAGGAGTCCCAGTTCATCCAGATTCACTTGAGGAAGTGCTCCTAAAGATGTCTTGAATTTTCAAAGCCAGTGTTTCTAATCTTGGGCGGCCATTGGGGAACCAAACTCAAAATCCAATCTCTCAGCTCATAGTAAATGTTCCATTATAACAGTGACAGTTGTTAGAATAAATTGTAGTGAAAATAAAGAAGACCTTAAATAAAAGCTTTATCTGTTATTTACATACTTGACAAAATAAGAAAATAAAAACTGTTATATATAATTAAAACTCAGGATAGGAATAGTCCATTTCAGACAGCAGCGGCAGAGGAGAATGGACTATGCCCATTATTTACAACAGTCAACAAAAGGAAATAGCATCACACAGATCAAATCATTGCAGATGCAACATGAATTTTACAATATCTGAATGATGATAATTTCATGTTTTGGTTAGAGCTTTTTCATCAGATTATGCCTCATGTTAAAGTAATTTACAACCAAAGTTGTTCTTAAGAAATTAGTGTGTTTAATAAAGTCAATGAATATATAACAGATTTCAAAACTGCTATTTTAAAAATAAGAAACTTGAAGTATTGTGAGAATCCTTCAAAGATACTCATAGCAGAAACAAAAGAAGTGTGACTGCACATGTGTTGATATCATGGA